GCTGCTGAGCACCCGGCTCTGCCACCCAATCTTTCTGCACTGAAATGAAAGGCAGAGCACAAAGCACAGCACAGATGACATGTCTGCATGGAGAGAACCAGCTAGGACTCAAAAAAACATCTTCCACATAAACAGAAAGAACAAAATCCACCAAATGCCCACCCTCTTGAGAGCCAGAAATTGGAGCCAGACGTATAATTTTTGTGCAATCATTTTGTCCCTTTCAGAAGAGACAAGAACTGTCTCTTGAATCAGTTCATCAAAACTTCAGCTGATTACACCACCCGAAGTTTGTTTCCCAGAGAGCTAATTGAGAACATTCAAGACTCAAAATTAAGTTGGTTTCAATGGACAGATCCATCTCCTTCAGCTGCCAGACAAGCCCACCCTTCCACTCAATCAGGTTTGCAATGCAAATAGGCAAGAATTCGGGAAGGGCTGGGGGCAGGAACAGGAAAAAAAATACTCAATCATAATCATCATTGTTCCAAGAAGTTGGAAGCCCAAGAAGTGGAAGTAGTTGCTGTTCAACTTCAAGAGGTCTGGAGAAAATCATAGATGGCACAAGCTAAACCCCCAGAGGACTCTCAGATGAAGCCTCCTCCTACCAGAGGACACCCAGACCTGATGTAGGAAGGCAAAGCATCTCAGCAGGCATGTCTGGGGGACAGGTATTGAAGGTGTCCAGGTTTGGAGCAGGGTTGTGTGCTGGAAGGATGTGTGGAGAACATGGATGTCCAGCTCCACTTCTGCCCAGGTTATCAGCTGGAGCACAAGCTGGAGCTTTAGTATGTCCAGCTCCACTTCTGCCCAGGTTATCAGATGGAGCACAAGCTTGCACACATCAGGCTTCCTTGTAAGGTGTTTGCTGTTCACTCAGGAAGAGATTTTCAGCCCCTTTGCCTTTATCTCTGAACCCCCTAAATGCCACATGGCTCTTGTCCAGTAAAACAGGAGTTCTCAGCACTCAGAGGACCACTGAGCCAGAGAGCTGCAGGGCTGCTGCTGAGACACCTTCCTTTTGCTCCTTCCATGGAGAAAAGCATCAATCTGGAGCCCCAACCTCACCAGGAGATCCTTGCCAGCATCTCCTCCAGCCCCTTGGATGCTGCTCATCCTTGTGGAACATGAAGCTCCACAGCCACAGGTCCAACCTTCAGGGGTCTGCACAGGGTCTCACACCAGCCAGTTTTACTCTCAGGATAACTGAAAGAGGGGAGATTTGGGTTAGATATTAGGAAGAAATTCTTCCCTATGAGGGTGGTGAGACCCTGGCCCAGGTTGCCCAGGGAAGCTGTGGAAGCTCCATCCCTGGAAGTGTTCAAGGCCAGGCTGGATGGGGCTCTGAGCATGGGAGGTGTCCTTGCCCATGAAGGGAGGCTGGAATCTGTAAATTCCCTTCCAACCCAAACAATTCAGTGAGTCTGTGATTTACAGACTCCCTGTGGAGCAGCTGGGAGGTTTGGGAGGAAGGTGGCTCCATGTTTCCAAGCAGGATGACAGTCAGTAACCAAAAGTTCATGTTTTCCCATCCATCATCCCCCCTCTGAGCCCTGCGTGGCCACCACGAAGGGCAGGATTTGGTACAAAACCAGCCAAAATGACAGCCTGGGGAAGCTGTGAAGGGCTTCTGAGAAGAGCTGCTGCTCCTGTTAATTATCCTAGATCCACGCTCCAGCCTTTTCTAGTGTTTGCCACTGGAGAGAAGAGTTCATTTAGAGACAGGGGAAAAAAACCAACAACAAGCAATTAAAAAGAACAGCTCTAAGCCTAGGGAAGAGATAACAAAGGACAGAGGAGCAGAATGTTAATGCCATGTTCTTGGCTCCTGGTGAATGGACCTGCACAGCTCATCACAGAAGTGCTGCTCCAGTGAGCAGATCCCTCCCCAAAGGATTGTCCTCTGCAGCTGTGAAAAATGTACAAGATAGAAAAAGAATTTTAAAAATCCCCTGCTGGAACTAAATTAGTTGGGTCAAAAGCCCTGCCTGCCCTGCCCCTGCTTTCACAAGGACTGAGAGATGCCCTTTCCTTCCCAGGGGATGCAGAGCAGGTAAAAGTGCTGGCCCAGGGAGCTGGAAGAAGATGGGAACTGTGGGTCAGACAAAGCCAATTTTGTCCAGTATCACAGTAACATCTTAAGGAAGTTTAATCTGGTCATTCGTGATCCTAAAACTGGTTTGATTTTCCATTTGTTATGACTTTTTTCCTTTTAAAATTGATGCATATAATTAGAAAAGGTAAGAAAAGGTGTAGATAATTCTGTGAATATAACAGGTGAACATAAGCCTAAGGTTTTCCAAAGCTGTTCTGCCACTAAACCAAATATATATATGTGTAACTGTGTATGTCTAGATATCATACACATAATTTGTGTGATTCCAGCAGCCTTGATATTAATAGTAACATATAATTACCTCCTCATTAATCTTCAGGCAGCTCCCCAGAAAACACTGCTGAAACCAGCAGCTAAAACCAAGAATGCAAACCCACCTAGCAACACCTTGCTGTGCCTCCTGCTCTGGCTGGGAGGAGGGGAGGATGGGATGGGAGGAGCCAGGGGAGCAGGGGAGAGAAAGATGCCACTTCATCATGGTTGTGAAACACCAGCAGGTTTATGAATGTCATTTTGCCAAAACTCACACCTTTTGCACATTCCTGCAGCCAGGTGAAAGAACCAGCAAGGCTGGACCTCACAGCAGGTTCTCCTAAGGAGATACCTGGTAACAAAAGCCCAGGGCAGGTGTTTGGAGCCTGTGCCCACCACACCATCAGCCTCCTAGAGACACTTCCCAGGCAGTCAAGAGGAAGCAGCCTCATGAACACCCCCTGGCTATTCTGGGGTGTCTCAGCTCAGCTCAGCATCCTCCTAACCCCACCTGGTTGCACAGGAGGTGTTTAGCTGGGGGACTGATGCCCAGGACAGATGCAACACAGCTACTCCTGCATCTATCACCAGGCTCAGCATCCAAATCTCTCTGCCCAACCTTCTCCTTTCCACCATCTTCCCAACTAAAGCAAGTCAAGAATACAGACATTCATTTGTGTCTTTCTTTTCCTGCTCCAGTGAGGCAGCTCCCTGCTCCTAAAAATACTCCAGGAAATTGAATCAACATGTTGTAATTTGGCTGCTATCAGCAATTACTGACATTTTTCTTCATTTTCCACTCTAGCTGTAATGCAACTTTGATAGCAAACTTTGTTTTGCATGCTAAACAAACACGACGGGCAACATGAGAAGAACAGAGAGGAAGAGTGGAGCATGAAAAAAACAGCTTTAAAAAGAAATAGGCTTCTATCAAATGGCAAAACAATTGTCATTCAAGCAGCATTTTGGAAAGATAAACTTGTTATCGTTCCTGCTTTCCCCTGTATAAATGGAAAAAGGAAAGCTCTGCTCCTCTTGCTGGGTGGGAGCAGCACTTGGAATTGCAGCCCTAGTGCTTGGGTGTGCTGGAGGCAGCATCTGACCTGCACACCCCACTGCTGGGCTGCAGGAGAGCAGGGCACAGGGCAAGGTGAAGAGCACACACAGCCTGAAGGGCTGCAAGTCCAGCAAACTGCTCTTCTGATGCCAAAAAGCCCTTTTGCACAAGGAAGCCTGACTCTGAAACAGGTTTTGTGGAGACTGAGTGGGCTCTTGCAGATAGGAAACAAGGAATATTTTCTTCCCCCACCTTGGTAAATTTGCTGTAGGTGCCTGTGCTTGCCAAATCAATAAGCAAGTGCCAATTCCAAGCAAGGATTTGACTTGGAAGGGTGACCAACTCCTTGCTTTTCCTTCCAGCCAAGAACAGCAGATGCTGTTGCACAGATCTGTGCAAACATCAGTCCCTAACAGCTCCTGCTGGATCAAGCCAGCCTGGCAGAAGAAACACTCTGCAGGATGGTGGGAAGTCTCTGCCACACTCAGGTGCTGCTCAGTGAGACCCCCCCTGCCATCAGCACTGCTGCAGGACGTGGGGACATGGCACCTTTTCTCCCTGCCCAGTTCAGAAGACATTCCCCACCAGCTGCAGATTCTCTGTGCTCCCCAGAGAAGGCCAGAAGGATCTACACACTGAATCCCAAACACCTCAGCTGTCTGCATCCTTGCAGGGGTCAGATAAGAACTGATAAGCTCAGGCAACACTGCAACTTATGTCAGACTGGAGAGGGGTGAGCAGACGAGTCCCAGAGAGCCCATCTGGGAGCGTTGCCTGCAGCTCAATAATTAGACCCACAAAGCATAAGGCAGCAGATCCCTTTCCCTTTCCACAGCTCAAATTGCAAGGGCCTGTACTTTCTATTCCCAGGACTTCCATGTCATCTTGTTGTTGTTTTAGTAACAAGGTGGCAAACAAAGCTAAAACTAAGTCACTGCTGCTGGTGGATCCATCCCCTTGCCACCCTGTCCAGGTCTGTATGGCCACACCAGGCTGCCAGGACCAGAGCAGAGGCAAAGCATCCTCAACAGCACCTGGACTGGCCTCTGCCCAACTGGACTCCAGCTTGAAAAGAAAGGGCTCATTTCTATTAAGTGCTTGAGGAATTGCTGCTTTCCAGGAGATGTTTTGGATGGGAGGCAAGGCAGGAAGGGGATACAGCCCAAGTGCAGGGGATACAGACAGATGACAAAGAGACACAGCCCCAGATCATTACAGTCTGTTGTGTGTAAAATAGCTGGACAGTTCTTGCAGAGACTCACACAGTTACATTTCACTGCACAGCCAAGCTTTTAGAGTGGAAAAGCTGGAACCATTTCAATGCCCTCCTGGGTAAAACTAAGCATCACTTCAGATGCTGTAAAGATCAGGTTGTGCTAAAGAAAATGACCTGAAAAATGGCCTGAGTCACTGTGGCCATCATGATGAGAAGCAAGCCAAGCAGAAATTGAGGTTTTGCAAAGCAAGTTGCTCCCCTGCAGCCTCTGGGGATTCTGGAGCAGCACTGCCCATGCACACCAACATCATGACCCAAAGGCTCTGTGAAATAGGGGGTTGTCAGCACAGGGAACTTACTTGGTGTTGTCCGAGTCAATGGTATGAAAGAGCTTCTCAAGTTCTTCTTCATTGAGGGTCCCATCAGAGAAAAAGGCCTGGAACTCCTCCAGGGACAGCTTCCCATCATCTGCAAACAGCAACACAGCTCTCGTTAGGGAACAGGCAAAGCCAGGGACACAAGGGCTGAAAACAGAGTTATGTCCAGATGTAAAGATTCAGAACCAAAATTATCTCCAAGTGCTTCTGCAGTGCTGGCCCTCAAGCAAAGTAGTGCTCAGCAGCCACAGGGTGGGACCTGGGCTGTTCATCCTAAGTATGACTCAAGCCTCAAGAGGAAAAGCCTGCAAACTTCATCCTAAACCTGAATGACATGTAGGAAATTGTGGAGGGTTTGGTCTGAAATACCAGGCTTACTACAGACTACTTCAATGACCAGGAAAGAGAAAAACTTCTCAAATCCATGGAGAAGGGGACCTAAGGAGGACTCTTATCAGCTTCTGCTGCTAAGGTGACAAAGGCTTGTGCCTAAATCTGGAGCCTTTCTCTGTGTGCTGGGGACAGGTACAACACGTCTCTAAAGCCACAGCTGGAAGTGAGAAGGTCTGGAGAAAGCTCCTGTGAAGAACTTCAGCAAGAAAACAATGGGAGAGACACAAAAGAAACTTCAAAAGGACTAGAATTTATCTCAAGTTTCTCATTCAAGAGGCTGAGACTGCTCTGGTGTGCAGCAGTACCCGGGGGGAATAACTACCCCCACTCACATCCTATTTAGAGTCTCTCCATTCATATCCCCTGAAGATGGAAATGCTTTTCCACAGCCTGGAAATGCTGCCTACTTTGCAGTAGGAGAATGTATCATTCATTATTTAATCGAATCAATTATAAACCCTGTTGCTCCTCTTTCAGGAAATGATGCTAGAGGACTAAATGAGCCAACTTACCAACCAACACGTCGATATTTCTTCCCCAAACATTTAGCCTGCTGCTCCCAAAGCACACCTGCCCTGCCTGCTGCTGACCCACTTTCCCTTGCCTGACACAGACAAATTCAGACCGTGATAAACTGAGTCCCAGATACTTATTTAATTGGCAATTACCACAGGAACACAGCAGGAGAACAAAACCCACAGCAACACTGGGCGCAAAGGGAATCATCGTCAGTGCACAGCAAGGACTGCAGAGAGTGCCCAGCTGCCTGTGTCATTTTTCTGCATCCCTCCCTCCAAATGTGGGCTCTCTGCAGCAGGCAGGGTGCAGAATACCAATGCACAGCTCAGAGGATGCCTCCAGATTTGTCTGCTTCTGATTACAGAAAACCAAAGCATCTGGCAGGAGGGAAATACTTCCCTAGGTCTCTGTTGCTTGAAGCAACCCCTCCCCAGTGTCCCCTGGGGGTAACCCAGTGGTGATTATTTTTCAGCTCCAGCAGATAAAAGACTGTGCCCAGAGCAAGAGCCCCATCCACACCATCCCTCTGCATATGGCACATCTGGATGAGAAGATTCCCCTCAGTGCTCCAATCTGTGCAGTATCCCAGCCAAGACCAAGGTCTGGTTTCTTCCAATCCTGACTGACAGTAAATATTTGTCTTCCAGCATCAAGATCAAAAGGATAAACAACTTTTTTATCCCATGAGAACTAAACAGTTCTTTACCCAAAGGACAATTCCTACAAACCTTCTATCAGTTCTTATTCACCTCAAAATTGTCCTTCTGCAGAGAGAGAAGGCAAAATTAAATTCCCAGGAAAGTCTGGTAAATCAACTTATTGGGAAGAGAAATGGCAAAATCAAGTTACTGTTTTGAGTAAAGTACTTTAAGCCAAATTTACCGCTCACTCACCTCCCAAAAGACACAAAGGTGTTTCTCTCCATGTTTAAGAAAAAGGTCTTTTTCCTTCACCTAGTTTACATGTTACAATTTGTCTCTTTCATTTTATTCTTGCTTGATACTCTTTGAGTAACACGTGCCCAGGCTGCATTTTTGCAGCAGCCTCTGAGACACTGTCATTTTAAATCTGCAGCAAGATCCTGCTCTGACTCTTATCTCACTGCCTCTGGAGTCACAGGTGAGGACAGGGAGGCAGGTGCCCCAACGTACCAACATATTTTTGGCATTTGACAGCCAAAAATATCACAGGATGGGTGAAAGATCAAGAAGAAGTTGGAGGTGACAGTGCATTTTATTGCAGCTTTGTTGCTTTGCTTGAGAGGACTCCACACAACTGGTTGTCCCCTGGCAGAAATTTGAATAAAAACACAAATTTTGCTTGAAAAACCAGTGCTGGAAACTTTCATCCCCCCAACAAATCACACCATAAAGTACCAGTCAGCTTAAAGCTGATGGTTATTTAATACAAGCTGGAATATTTGTCTGCAAACACACAAAGGAAAAGTCTTCCCCAGTAACAAGATAATCCTTGAGCTGCATATCTATAATTGTGAAACAAGCTGGGGCCAAGGGCAAGGAAGCCTTTGGGGAGCTGGGGAGATAAGGGGAAGCAGACTGGGCAGGGATCTGGCAGCTAAAATTAAACTGGTAGAAAATCCTGGGCAAGGAGAATCGACCACAAGTCGGACACCAGGTCTACCCACTGGTGGGTGCTGTGATAAGGGCTGATGGAGATGCTGCCTTATCAGGGCAGCCAGAGTAAAGCTTTGGCTGCAAGCAGGACTGTCTGCACTTGCCAACAAATGGGTAAGACCTCCAGAAACCTGCTTTTTTGCTGAAAGCTCCTGGGTGTGAGATACAAATTCTCCAAATGAACAGTCAGGGGTGGTACCATTGGAACTCATCTGTGCCCTGCCTTGTAGGAGCTCACCTGGGGACACTTCAGCTCTCAGCAGCTGCTTTTGGTAGGAAGGATAACAGAAACATTGAGATTCCACACCTAATCTCACTAAACAAAATAAAGCTTCCATCAGTTTTCAGATCTAGAGCAGTTTTTGTGACTTCTGTCTGGATGAGCAGGTGAACAACCTTCTTTCACCTCCTCCCCTTTAAACCCAGTACTTGAAGTTCACACCTCAGCTGGCAACAAGGACAAGTGGCACCAACTAGAAATCACCTGGCTGACACTGATAGGCTAAGAAAAGAGACAACCAGGCCACAGCTATTCTGCCATCATTCTGCCCTGAAAGACTAATCTTCATTTTACTGTAGCTTTTCAAAATAATTCAATCACAGGCCAAGAGCAAAGAAAATTATGGGCCAAACAGAGTTAGCAAAGTTCCAACTAACCAACCAGAACATCTGAAAGCCCCACGTTGAAAATCTGAGGAGCCCAGGGGTGGCTTTTACACCTTCTAACTTGCACAATCAGGCTGTTCTTAACAGCTAACACAGCCAGGGGAAAAATCAAACTGAGATCATAAATCACCCAAAATGTAGGAAATCTGATGGCTGAGGTTTTGGAAATTCACTCAGGGATACAAATAGCTTGAAACATCTACAAAATAATGTCACTGTTGTGAGCCTGAGCTTGCTAAACCCATTTGCAATTGCATCAGGTTGAGACAGCTCCTCTATTTTCTGGCTGTATTATGAATATATTTCATTACTTATTTTTATTACTCTATGAGTTCTAAAATGCTTTAAGCCTCACTTAGTGTGCGAGTGCCAGCAGAGCTAGGGGTAAGCAAATTGGATTGTGGGCTGTGAATAAAAATGATTGCTGCATTTTTATTTCTTATTTTTCCTTCTTTCCTAGGAGCCTGTGTGTGCAGAGACACGAGTCAGCAAGGACATGGACTGGCTTCTGCCCTGGATCCTTCATCCACTCCCCTTAGGAAGTCACCAGGAGCAGCTTTATTCATTTAAATGAAGCTGGATATAGGTTTGAGTTTTCAAGTCCTGGGCTGTTAGGAAAAATTACCTCCAAGTCCTCAGCTCTGATCTGTGATGGATCTGGAAGATGCAGATCAGGCACTACTGTGCCTGATATCTGATATCTGCTCTGTGAGAGCAGAAATTATCCCTTCTAACAGAGGTTTTCCAGCTGCAAAACCTGCCTTGAAAGCTGGATGTTCTCCCTGTTGAGGCAGCTGGACCTGTGTTGGGATTTCTGCCCTGGTGGGATGCCCAGGGCATCCAACCCTCCCCTTACAGATACACCCAGAGCTGCAAGGGGAAGTCACACTGGGGAAAGGACAACGACAGCACATAGAGTCCCCAAGCCTGGAGGAAGCCATTTCATCTGCCACCTTCAGAAGAATTCAGTATGAGGGTTGTTTTTTTCCTAGACCATTTATTTTTACCTAGACTCTGTGCTGATGAGGATCTGTTCCCAAAGCCATCAGCAGCTCCTCTGCAGCCAGCTGAAAACAACCTGCCCACTTTGACTCCAGCATCACGCTGTGACTCCAGGACCATCTGAATTTAGTTGGACTCAGAGCTGGTGATTCACCCCCAGCTCTGGCTGAAGCTGTGAAGCTGCAGGAGGTCAGTGAGAAGCACAGCCCATGTTTTGGTGGCTCCTTGCAGGGCCACTGGAACAGAGCCCCTACAAACACCTTTGCTAATGAGACTTAACACACCTCGTTAAAAGGAAATTACTGTGATTATAGTAATTTTCTAGTGAGAGGAATTTAATGGCTACCTTTGTGGTTTTCTTTTTTTGGAAAGGTAACTCATACCCAGCCCAGATGTCGAGAGGGTTGGTAACACACCCAGGAGGGCCTTGTTGCACTTGGCCAATGAAAGAGCATCTCTGAAGAAGTCAACCAGCACCAGGCCAGTTGCCCCAGTACCACAGATCAGCTCTTCTTCAGGAATTTGAAGAATTACTGCAGAAAGCACAGAGCTCACAAAACAAAACATCATGTCACTTGTGGTCTTACTCTACCTGCTCTGCAGCACATTCATGGCACCACTGGAGCTGGTGCATATTCAAAATCCTTCACTGATACAGCAGGACTGAGGCTCCTTTCTGTGCCAGGGTAACTACCCTCATTTCCCTCAAAAAGGGGAGAAAAGTGACTTTCATTTCAAAATGACCACATCAGTCAGCATAAGATGTTGAGGGATGACTTAAAGCCTGGTTCTTGTCTAGGATGGTGTATGTGCCAAGCAGAAGATGGCTGGCAACCTTCCTTGTAGGACTTGGCCTGGAGGAAAGTGGGGATTTCCACTGTAGTCAGGAACCTGCACCTCATTCTCACCAGAAATAGCCTGGACATCCAGCAGTGTCCACTAACATGCCAGAATTTTCCCCAAGCTGCTCAGCTTTTGTCATCAAATCAAGCCCGTTATCTTCCCAGAAGTAATTTTGCAATCATTTCTAATAGCAGCTATAGATAAGACCCCAAATGTAGGCCAGCAGGCAGGGACACCTGCAGGACTGATACTGCACATTTTTCTCCCACTGCCTTTTGTAAAGACTTCACTTTTTTTTCAGCTTCCCAGATAATCCTCACCCTGCTCTAATGAGATGATTTAAATGGTGGGTTTGGGGTTGTTTTTTTTCTGCATTCACCCAATATCTTGACTCTGGATGATTTATCACAGCTATTTCGGAATGTCTTCCAAAGAAATTCCTAGTTCTTCACAAATGAAATGCTGGGACCAGATTTCTCCAGGGTACAAATAGCCTGGACTGGTTCAATGCAATTGCTGCTTGAGAGAGGCTGTAACAGACCCTACCCAAACATTCAGAAGGGAATCCAGAGATTCCAGTAGCCCACAAAGCTTTCTTAATCCACCATTTTCCGATGGAAAACAGGAGGAAACCTCTTCCTGTCTTCCTCTCACTCATTAGACTTCTTTTCTTGCAATTTAAAAGGAAAATGAATGTCAACTGCTGATTTCAACACATTTGCTTTCCACCTGTAGTGGCACAACCCTGAGTCAGCCCCTCCAGGTGCTGCTGCTCAGTGTATGAAAACCTCAGGTGACCCCAGGACACTTAGTGTGTGAACACGTTGGTCCAGCTCAGGGCAGGCAAGTGGGAAAAGATTTAGGAAAAGAACCTACCTTGTAGTGAGCAACCTCCTGGCCAAGAGCTGAGATGAAGGGGCACTACCTGAACCCTTGATGCCCACCTTTGGGCTCCAGCCTGGGCAGTGAAAGGGGCTGGGGGGGCTGCAGCCCAAAGGGACACACACCAGGGGTATTTAGTGGTCCCTGTGCTGGCACCCAGGAGACCACAGGGCACCTCTGGGATGAATCCCAGAAATGTATTACATGTAATATTAATGTAATATTAATGGTAAATAAGTAAAGAGATTGAGGACACACCTTCTCCCTCCTTTCCCCACTGTCCCCAGCAGAAGAGCTCCACTTCAAGCTGCTGCAGCCATCAGCAGCCCCACCTTAGCTCCAGAGCAACTGCCACCACCTCTGGGCTATTTTTCACCTTAGTTGGCCCCAGCCTGTCTCCTTTATATTGGGGGCTATTAAATGGCTGACTGACTTGGAGCAAGCAGAGCTTTTTAGCACCTCTGATTTATTTGCCCATTCAAACCATTTCCCCCGGGGAGTTGCACAAGCAGAAGGCACCAGAGTGAAGCAGCAGATTCCTGTGCAGAGTTTGCAGCCTCCTGACCCAGAAAGCCCAATTGTGTCTCTCAAAGGCTTTGATTCTCCACACACTCAAACATCTGCCTTGCTCAGCTCTGGCTTTCTGTTGTCTTCCTTCTCCATTAATGTGCTCTCAGCACCTTCCATCCCTGCACTTCTTTTCCTTTCTGAACTCTCAGATATAACACAGAATGAGACAGGTGATTGTACAGAGAGGAGTGGCTGAAACATCATCACCCTCTGATCCCTACCACTTGACCCCCCA